TGAACCCAGGTCAGCCGCATGCAAGGCAAACGCCTAACTGCTGTGCTATCACTCCGGCCCAGTAATACTGCTTTTCATCAACGATATAAAATATTTTATCTGGATGATCAGTTTTCTTTTATTCACTCACAATTACTAAATATCCATAACAATGAGCTGTGGATAACAGACTGAATTAAGACACCAGAGAGTTGAGTGTCCAGGCAAAAGTCACATGCCCAGACACCGTAAACATAATGCAATGTTGGAAGTATTGTAGACACAGATGAGAAGGGATGAGAGTGCCTAGTTCCATTTGGGAAAGTCAGGAACAGACTTCCTAAGTGGTTGAGTTGTATCTTAGAGGTGAGAAAGAGCAGAAAGCAAGAGTGTTAGGAATGTATAAATATAAAAGTAGGCAGTTGAAACACCGCGTGGAAAATGGAAGCATGATGCGGCTGACAGTATAGGGGTCTAGGAAATTGCCTTTCATGCAGCTGGCCCAGGTTTGATCTCATGTTACAGCACATGGTCTCTTGAGCAACACCAGGAGTGATCCCTGAGCACAGTAAGAAGTTCTGAGAACAGTGAGTGTCTTCCCCAACCCAATAGTGATGATGATGATGTCAACAACAACAACAACAACAATGAACTAGTACAGACTCTAGCGACAGACAGCTTGAGTTCTACCTTGGAGAATGACTTAACCTTGCTGTGTCTCAGTAGCCTTATCTCTAGACAGGACATCATATGAATATCTCTTTAGCACACTGATGCCAGCACTGTAATTTGTGTTCATTCAAGTGTCATTCACTGGTGGTGCCAATGGCTCAGAACAGACAGCTATGAGAGTGAATGAGTTAATTTTTGTTAAGCACCTAGTAAGAACAATGTGAAATTCTTCTCCGATTGGAGCTGGAGTTCTCGCTGGCAGTGACAGAAGGTAAGAAAGTTAGACTGGGGTGTAGTGATGGGCCAGAGATCAGAGGCTTATGTTAATTCTGAGCACCTAGGAAAGTCGTAGCTGGATCTTAGTTGAATGAATGATGACTTGGAGTTAGCCTAAAGCTTGGAGAAAGAAGGACCAGTCACAGGAGATAGAAATGGGAGGCCAAGTGCTTCAGGGAGATGAATCAGGGTTTTCTGGAGACAGTCCTAGCCCTGGTGTGAGCTTGAAGCAGGGAAGTGGGTTAAGAATAGAGAGCAAAGGGATAGATTAAGGAAACACCAGGGAGGCAGTTGGTGAATCCTGTTGACTTTCTGGATTACTGGGTGAGGGTGAGGGGTGGCTCAGAGATTAATGATGAATCTGAACTCCTCAAATGCTTATCTCCTTGCGGTTCGGGTATCTGCAGATCCACAATAAATGTCCAAACACACAATAAATGTTTAATTAACTTCTTTTCTTGTGAGTTTATCTCCCCCATTTCCCCACTACTTTATTTTACAAAGTGAGATGATCTGGTTTTGAAAGAAAATTGACAGACTGAAAGGTATTGTGTTTAACAGTCTTGCCACTTGAGATCTTTAATTTCAGTGACAATATTCAAAGTGTGGAAGGCATCACTGGGCCACTTGCTTTAGTTCTCTTTTCTGAGAATATAGAGGTATTTTGGCTGGCCTTACTTCCCCCTGATGTTGTGTGATTCTCTGACATCAGCACAGATATATTCAGCTTTGACACAGGATACTGGTTGGCATGAGAATGGAGAGTATAGGGTTGAGCTGGTGAGAAGGACAAGACAGCTAAGCTCAACACCAAGTGGCATTTGCGACAGGTGTCCTGTGGAGCCAGAGCTAGAAAAGGCTTCTTCTTCTATTTTTAATAAGTGGAAAAGGAACTCTTTCACAACTATAACAGAAACTGAAAATTAGGTCCTCATGGATATAAGATACAATCACTAGGATAAAATATTTATTTTTATCAATATAGAACAATTGAGTCTTTGTTTCTATTTTCAAAAATATTGCTCTTATGTTTGATTTTGACTTTGGGACCACACCCAGAAGTGCTCAGGGCTTGTTCCTGGCTGCGTACTCAGGGGTTCATTCCTGGCAGTGTTTAGGGGGCCTAAACAGTACTGGGAATCTAACCAAGGTCAGCTGTATTTAAGGTAAATGTCTTAAACATTATGCTATCTCTCTGGCCTGTTTCCACTTTTATTTATTTATTTTTATTTATTTTTTTTGCTTTTTGGGTCACACCCAGCGATGCTCAGGGGTTACTCCTGGCTCATGCACTCAGGAATCACTCCTGGTGGTGCTCGGGGGACCATATGGGATGCTGGGAATTGAACCTGTGTCGGCCATGTTGGCTGCATGCAAGGCAAACACCCTACCCGCTGTGCTATCGCTCCAGCCCCCTGTTTCCACTTTTAAAAGTGACTCACGGGCTTATGGATTTGCTAAGCTAGCTATATTTTAGTTCAATGATGATATACCCTGAATGACACTAATTTTTATGCTGTAAAATGGAGTATTTTCTGTCTCTGTAGGGCCAGCAAACTTGTCCTGCTGCTCAGAAATTGATAATTCCAGCACCATTGAGCAACCAAATATCCCTTATTTTCCGTAAGAAGAGGCTACTTACATTAAACTGAGAACACCCCTCTATCAAAACTTCGACCCTCCTAACATACATTTTAACTAGTTATAACTTTCATCACCACTACTGAATGTTCCCACAAAAGCAAGCATTTGGGGGAAGTGAGATACTAGATACTGTATCATCATTTCTAAACATTTTTTCTTACATTATTTTCATCCTGATCTTTGTGACAACTCAATTTTCAGTTCTCAACATTCTCTCTAATCACAGAGCTTAACAGTGACTTAAATCCAAGAAACATTGGTTTGGCTTTGATCTGGTTCTGTAATTTTGAGGCTACAAACCACAGAATATTTTTTTATGGAAAAAAGAACATTTTGTGCCTCGGAGTGCCTCGGGAGATAGCTTCAGTGCTCAAGTGTGTGTCTGGCATGCAGAGGTGCTAGGTTCGAGCCCCAGCACTATCCCATCCCCTGGGCACTGCTAGAGAACAACCCCTGGGCAGTGCCAGGTGTGGCCCAAAACACAAAATCAAACTCTCAAAATAGCAAGAGTGAAAAAGACCATTTCATTTTAATACCAGATACAATAGTACAATGGGTTTTTCATTAATTCTCCTCTACCTAATTTTAAAAACTCAGGTAAAATAGGAAGCAATGACATCAATTCTGCTAATTCAATAAGTAATACTTTTTCTTGATTGCTCACTAAATCAGTAAAAAGCCAGCATCAGAAGTGAGAAAATTACTCCCAAACAGACATATTTATAAAAATGTTTTTTATACACCAATTTCCTTTATCTTCTTTCTTATAATTAGCAAACTATTACATCTGACCTTGGCAATACTTTTTAATTAGGCCATCCATGGATATTTCAATAAACCTTTTTTTTGACATTTCAATCATACTCTTGTGTCACTCATGCTTGCCTCCTACTATTTTAAATGTATAGCATGATCCAGCTGCAGGAATTACCATGGTTACTTTTTATGCCAACAGAGAGCTGCAGTTAGCATTAGAAAGTATTGTGCTCTCTTGCCTCTGCATTGAAAATGACACAGTATTTCAATAAGTGCAACAATATTAATTAAAATGGAACCTTGGACACCCAGGAGTGGCTGAGATTAGTTCTAGGAATTTTGCTCCATGACTTGGAGGCCAGCCACATGTGCTAGGGGAAAAGGAAGCTCAGATAGAGAAGAGAGCACCAAATAAAGGGTGTTGGGAAGATCCTCCCAGGGTGGGAGAAGCATGCTGAAAATAGACTATAGACCAAATATGATTGCCACTCAATGCCTCTCTTGCAAACCACAGGACCCAAAAGGAGAGAGAGAGAGAACAAAAGGGAATGCCCTGCCACAGAGGAGGCAGTGTGGGATGGGTGGGATGGGGGTGGGAGGGATGCTTGCACCTGTGGTGGTGGAGGATGGGCGCTGGTGGAGGGATGGGTACTTGATCATTGTATAACTGAAACCCAAGCACAAAAATTTGTAAGTCTATAACTGTACCTCATGGTGTTTCAGTAATAAAAAAAGGAAATAGAAACAATAAAAAAAAGAAACCTTGGAGAAGTATCACTCTGAGACAATTGGTCAAAGCAAAAGAAATTCTTAAGGGTTGATCTATATTTCAGGGTCCTTTTTGGAGGGTATGCAATCTTCATATTCTCAAGAGTTCTTTTGAGCTCAAAACAACAAGAGCTGTTTTGATTTTTGGGGGACCATGCAAAGTGAGAGGGATCCAATCCGGGTCCCCCTCATGCCATACATGTACTTTGTCTGTTGAGCAAATTCACTAAGAGCTCATTTTAATGCCAAATGTGGCTTTATGACATCAGATATATTAATGTAATATATAATACATATATATTACATCAGATATATAAAAACAGCATACAGTTTTATTGGCCACACCTGCCAGTGCTGAGGGGCTACTCGTTGGCTCAGTGTTTGGGGGTTACTACTGGAAGTGCTTGGGGGACCATATGGTTCTGGGTCTTAAATCTAGGCCTCCATCACGTAAAGCATGCACTCAGTCTGTCAAGAGCTCTCTTTCTAGTTTATCACTGCCTCCGTTAAAAATAAAATTTCTCTTTAGAAATACATAGCATTTCTGTGCAGCACTTGGAATGGAAAGTGATTCACATTTAGTGTGAAATGATTAATAGAGAGCTCAAATGATATGGTTTCTGAAAGGTACCTTGTCTAGAGATGGTATCTAGGATTCAGTTGATTTGATCTCTAATCAAGTCTTTCATTATGCTGGCTAGGTAAAGTTATAATAAGCAAAGTTCTAGTTCTAGCTCACAACCAGTCTTTATTTAGATCGATATTCAAGCACTTCTGTGTTAGAGATTCTAGCCATTTTCCCAGTCATGTCACCAGTCTGCTTTATTTAAAAGACTTAGTTTGCAAATCACCAGAGAAGAACCTTGAACAATGACGCATTCTGCAGAACAGAAGCCAACACTCACCTGCACTGGTGCCTGCACCGGATGTGAGGTCTCCGCCCATCAGACCACCTAGGAATTAGAAAGGGGGGGTCAAAAAGAGAAGACTCCAGGCCCTTAACACATTTTCCTTTAGGCACTTCAGGGCTTTGTCCTCTTCCAAGATTACTACATTTGGTAAAGCTTTGCCTATTTCAGAGGACTGGCATCCATTTTACTGTCACATGCTGTGCTCCAATTGCTTCATTCAATCAGTAACGCTTTGCAGAATCATTTTTCTAAGAAAAATTACACTTAAAAACTTCAGATTTTGGAGTTCTTTTTCAAATTTTATTATTTCCAAGTCTAGTTTTTCCTAAGAGGGTGATTTATAGAAAAGCTAAGAATAAGTTAAAGGTTTGTGACAAGCTCAAAAGTCTAACATAGGGGCTGGAAAAATGATAGCACAGCGGGTAGGGTGTTTGCCATGCACATGACCGACTCGGGTTCGATTCCCAGCGTCCCATATGGTTCCCCAAGCACAGCTAGTTGTAATTCCTGAGTGCAGAGCCAGGAGGAACCCCTGAGCATCACCAGTGTCACCCAAAAAGAAAAAAAAACTCTAACATCTGCTATTTCTTAAATAATGAGTTTTGTTCAGGGCTGATTATTGAGAACTTTGGTCATTTTGTGAATCTACCCACAGTGAATGACCCCACTTAGTAACATATCTTAATTATTGACAAGGTTTCACTTGCCACAAATTTAGAAATGCAAACTAATTCACTGTTAGCTTAAAGTGTATAAGATTTGATAATGTTTAAGGAGACTGGTGTGTTTCAATATGTTTTCTGATCACAATAATGAAATTTAATTTTTAAAGCCCAAGATTTCAGAGTGGTCATTCAGGAGTGATCTCCGAGCAAAGAGTCAGGAGTAAGCCCTGAGTACTGCTAGGTGTGGCCTCCAAATTAACATAGATAAATAAAAATAATAAACACAAGTTTGCAAAATAGGAAATTCAGTAGGATTTTGAGTATGACATGAAAGAAATCCATATGGTGACGAGAATTCTTATTAAAGTATCTATCACATTCAAAAGCAGAAAGAGTAACATAATGAAATTCTTTTCCTGCACTCAAAATTTGGCAGTATTTTTATTTGACTGATTTTGATTGCATTTTCTTTAAGGAATTTCTGTATTAGCAATAATATACATTTAGTTCGATAGCAGACATTTAAGTCTTCTGAAGTTGCATTTCTCAAAGGTGGCTATATGGTCCCTGTGTGCCCTAGGGTTCCCCAGGACTACAGGTGAAAGCAGCATAAACAGGGTAACAATGACATGAGACATGAGGGACAACTGGTTGGACATGGACGTCACAGGAAGAAAACAAAATAGGAAGGGGACTACAGTCAGAAGAGGGTTGAGCAACATTAGCCCAAAGTTTTTCCGTGAATTGTGTTTAACATGATCACGTGTGTCGAAGTCATAATAACACTAATCATCTCTAGTATGCAAAGCCTGTGCTCTACTCTTAGAGTTTTCAAACTTTGTGGGTTGTTTTCATTTTATTATTTTATTTATTCCCTGGGCCCAGGAATAAATCACGGTCACGGTCACGGTCCTCCTGTTGTTCATCAATTTGCTTGAGCAGGCCCAGTACGTCTCCATCATGAGACTTGTTGTTACTGTGTGTGGCATATGGAATATGTCACGGGGAGCTTGCCAGGCTCTGCCGTGCGGGCGAGATACTCCCGGTAGCTTGCTGGGCTCTCTGAGAGGGATGGAGGAATCGAACTCGGGTCGGCCATGTTGGCCGCTTGTAAAGGCAAACGCCCTACCGCTGTGCTATCGCTCCAGGAATAAATAAAAAAATAAAATGATAACAACCCACAAAGTTTGTAAAGATATAATGGTTTGCATATATTTACAATGCAATTATTTTTGCAGCTTCTGTTGGAAATAAGGAATTGTTTAATTAGAATCAACACATATTTACTCTGTGTCTGACAAGAGGACACTAGTCCCTTCAAAGTTCTTTCAGTTCAGTAGGGAAATAGACACATACTGAGTACATGCATCGTAATATGTTTTGCCTGATCAGAATACTAAGAATGCATGGACTTGCCCTGCGCAGCCATTTTCTTTCCTCTGGGACTAGGAGCAACAGTAACGATCTCTCAGAGAAAAATCTGTGGCAGGTATCTAGGCCCCAACGTGGGCTCTTGACTTCATTTGCTTTGTTTTTATTTTACACTGTACGTTACATGATCTTATCACAGTTCCCTTCTGCTGCGCGTCTTTTGAGGTGTAAGAAAGTAATTGTATAAATGAATAAAATGACACCAAATGGGGATAAATGCTCTCAGAGAAGGTTTTATAGAACAGGTGATGCTTTGTTAGAAGAAGAAGGAACATGACATTTTAAGCGGAAGGGCAGAAGCAAGCAGACAGGATATTTGAAGTCCTGTTTGAGAAAGTTTGTGGTTAAGGTCTAGCCACACAAGGAGATTGAAGACAGATATGCTGAAGAGCGACTTGGATGATTATGAAGATTTTGGAAAGATGCTGACCCGGTTAGGCTTTATCACAGAAGTCAAGGGGAGTGAAGCAAGGAAGGGTGTAACGAAAGGAAAACTGGAAAACTCAGCATCTGGTAGATTAAACAGCATTTCTGCCAAGAGTAAATCCTTCCAGTGGCTTAGTAATACTGTATTCTGAGCACATACCTGTGTTACCTGCACTTGGAGGTCGATGTGTTACACCAGGAGACATACTATTCCTCTGCAGAGAAGGGTGGGCCAGTGGCAAAAGGTTGGGGTTTCCCAGTGAGCTGACGGGGTTGCTGTATACCAAACTGTTGTGACTTGACACTGGGATGGAGACTGGCATCTCAAAGTTGGGAGGTGGAACAGCCTGAATAGGAAGAGAAAAACAAAATGAATGCAAAGAAAGAGGATAACAAGACGTCGTCTGCAGCAGGTGGCATTCGCTTTTTCAAGAAGAAATCCAAATTTCAAACTGCTTGGGGTCTAGGAGACCATTAAGAAGAACACTACAAGATGTTCACTTCATAAATGAACTCCTTTAATGTGCTTTGCACTCGTTCTTTGAAACTATTAGAAAATGTTTCACTTTTGTTTTAAACAAAGCCCTATTTCATTAGACTCCATTGTCTTTGAATTCCATTCTATTAAGTGATAATTGTTCATTTGTGCTATCTGAGTCTGGTGCCAGAAATGACTGCAAGATCAAAGGTACATGATTGTGATGACTTCACAGAGAAAAAGGAGGATTAAAATGCATACGGGAGCCTTTGGTTTAATTGCTTATTGAAGCATATTTATGCAGAAGTTTAATGCTATGAAATCATTTCTCTTCAGGTGAACAGCACATATACTTTATTATTTTTTTAAAGACTGCCTTTTGAAAGTAATTCTTAAAGATAATAGACATTTTAAGATACAGGGTTCAACAGAGCATGCATGATTCCATAACTCACATTTTAAAGTGACAGTTTGGGATTCATATTACACTTCACATTTGGGGTAATACTACAGAGACAAATGGCAAGATTTTTTTTGGCAAGCCCTCTATGTCAGAGGAAAGAATTGGCAAATATTTAGTGAACTGAAGATATGTAGAGGTTTAATTTGAGTAATTCAGATCTTAATTATTAATTTTTTGGGGGGTACTACTTTGGTCATTTGTGCAAAATAAAGTCTGCATTTCTACTTGCCCTAACCAGATAATCATAGTTGTATTCCTCTACTTTTAAAAAAGTATTACAAATGCAATGCTTTTTGAATATATTACCAGAGGATTACTGATGTCAAAGTATACAGTACGTCTAATATAAAATAAATGTGTGCATGTATTATGTATATATCCTAATGCATATATAATATATGAAAAATATATATATTACAAAGACAGGACTTATATAGAACTTTACTTCTTGGATTCTCCAAGAAACCACTGTATTTAAATTCATATTTTACATTTGAGTCTATATATGCCTATGGACTAAAATTTTTTCTATTGTTTTTATCTAATCTGTATGATAATTTTATTTTACTAGTCAATTGGCCTGCATCATAAGTCATAATCTGAAATAGCTCTCTGTCAATTCCAGTGATGATTGCAATACTTTGTTTCATGAACATTTCTGCTCCTTTGCTCCTTGTTTTTCCTATTTTTGTTTTCCTCCAACATTGGGAAATATCAATGTTGAGAGGAACAAATGTTTCATTGCTTTTGCTTTTATATATCTTTTACGCTTCAATGTTTTAGAAGGAAGTACAAAGAAACTACTGTATTAACACCATAATTCTTTATTAGGCCTTGTTATAAACATGGTAATAGAGTAATTTTGGATAATTACCACAATATCAAGGAATGTAAATGTTCAATAAGTTATCAAAGAATAAATGTATCCCTAACGTTTCTAAAGATGTTTTAAGCAAAATATTTTATTTTTTACTGTAAAATAAATATTTGTAAATTAAATATGATATTATTTAAAAGGCCAATAGGAATTAATCCAGCCTGCCTAAAAATGAAGAGCAAAGTAACTGTGCCAGATTTCCTCCCTCTGTCCTTCCGGATGCATTCTCCTCTTCTCTGTGTTGATGCTACCCCTACATGTAGCAGGTTACCCTTACCCACTGGCGTCAGCTGGGCCATGAGAGGCACACAACAGAAGCACAGAGAACAGTAGAGAAACTAGGTGTTTTTCTACTACAGACTCCTTTGTGCTGGAGGTTACATCTATTCCTATAGCGAACGCCATGCCTGTTATTGGGTCTTTCTTTTCTACTGTGTGACATGGTATCACTGCTAACTAACCTCCCTCTTTTCTTGCACCTTTGAGACCTACAGGTGGGAACAGTTTCTAGGTTGCAAGCCCTAATACTTTTCCAAGTCTTTGGGTTTCTATGAACAATCCATTTAGTAAGTATTGTTCAGTTACCTTTTCTGAAATTTGCCATTGTTTTCCTACTTAAGCCATGATGGTTAATTCATGAAGATCTAGAAGAGTAGCACTCTATAGAGTCTCTCAGGGAGCATTTTGGAAATTTGGGGTCTGCTTTTGGATGTCACCATGATCAAGGTGTGATGTAGATACTTTCTGGGTAGCTAGGAATGTATAACAGGATTACTGTACGTGGGATGGTTCTGAAAACCTAATAGTCTCTCCCTGTTCTACTTTCAAAAGTCATAGTGGGACACTAACGCATATAACATAACATGTTTATAATTATCTGAGTCAACTTTGTTCTGCAAACTCAAGGTATTTTTTCAGACAACAAGATAGATATTCTTCATACAGACTGAAATTTCCAGAAAGGTAATTACAGTATACATTGAAGGAATGTCCTTTGGTTTGTATAGAGCTTTAGAATTTTTCATCATCTTGGAAAACTGTGTTACCAATGGCAACTTAACAACTTAGGTTATTATAGAGCATACAGATTTTCCCCCTTCATCATACTACATTAAAAACATTTTCCTCTACCACTTCACTCAAAATCTTCTTGTCATAATTGTTAACACTCTCTAGGTAGTTAAATCCAATGGTAACTTCTCAGTCTTTAACTTGGACACTAAGATCCACTTTTGTTAAACTTGCATATCTTCCACGGTCCAGAACTTTGCTTTCTACCTCATGGATTTTACTGATTCTCTGCCTTTGTAGTGTTCTTTCTTTGTGAATGAAGATTACCATAGCCTTTTTGCTATATTCAGCTTGGCTTTCTCTCTCTCTCTCTCTCTCTCTCTTTCTCTCTCTCTCTCTCTCTCTCTCTTCAGTTTTGCTTTTGGGTCACACCAGACAATGCACAGGGCTTACTCCTGGCTCTGCACTCAGGAATTACCCCTGGCAGTGCTCAGGGGACCATATGGGATGCTGGGAATAGAACCCGGTCGGCCGCGTGCAAAGCAAATGCTCTACCTGCTGTGCTATTGCTCCAGCCCCTTGGCTTTCTCTCTTAATTCTAACATTACATTCCAGCAACACACTCAAGATTTCAACCTACAGGTGTGTTAGATATTTCAGCACTAATTCTAATCTAGCATTACTCATTCTTTATCTCTAGCTGATGATAGACAGCTCCTTGCTTTAATTGCATAGAATATAATCTCTTTCTATCACTTCCCTTGCTCAGTTTATTAGGATATGCTATTGAGTTCATTTCAAAATACAACTGGACTCTGCCTGCTTCTCACCTTTTCATGTCAACCACCCTGGCTTCAGCTTCATCATCTCTTGCCTTCATCACTGCAGCTACCTCCTAAGAGTCATCTGCTTCTCTTTTTTATTTTCCACCCCACAAACACATTGAGTCCTTTAAAGAATAAAGAAGATAATGGCATTTCTTCACTTAAAACGGTGATAGCTCCCACTTTAGTGTAAAAGCTGGACTTTCAGTGGTCACAAAGCCCTATAGATTTTAGTTCTTGCAAGTCTTCTGTTATTTAATTTCTATCATCTCTCTCTGATTTTTGTCTCAGTCTTTTAGCTTAGTTTCTCACCTCCTCAGACATGCCTAAAATCTGGCCTTCTAAAGAAAACCCATTCTGATCACCATGTTTAATCCTGCATCTTGTCCTGAAGTCCCCCTGCCCCCCGCCCCACTGGACCCTTGCCTTTGCTCTTTTTTTTTCTCCTTCTATTATAAATTCAACTGTTCCCTTTCAACAAGGCACTGAAGTTCTTTTGCTATAAAGTAATGCAGGACTTTAGTCTACTCTTTATTATATTAATTGACTATTCTTTAAAGGAGAATTTTTGGAAGACACTATACAGACACAAAACTACAAGCTTACAATTCCACTATTTATTGATCAGGCATGGAAGGGTATACTTTATGCACACGATATGATTGTACCCTTTTAACATTCCTTGTCTATCAATATAATTCTATTCTTTCTTATGTCACTGTGGTTTAGAAAGTGACCTATAGTCATCTAACTAGTAATTGAGCCTACTACTTTCACTTCAAAATCAATCTACAACACGGAGTAAATTTTGGGGTGGAAATAGAATATTATAGTTAGAAGTCATACTATGAAATAATTAAGGGCAGAATTTTCGTGATTTGTTGTTTACAATTCACAAAAATAATGAATGGAACTGATTCCCTAAATATGGACACACATTCATAGCAGTGTTTGGTCTAGATTCACTAACTTATAGGAAGTGGCTGAGATCTTTTTTTGGTGGGGGGGTCACATCGGCGATGCACAGGGGTTACTCGTGGCTCTGCATTCAGAAATTGCACCTGGCGGTGCTTAGGGGACCATGTGGGATGCTTCAAATCGAACCTGGGTTGGCCATGTGCAAGGCAAACGCTCTACCCACTGTGCTATTGCTCCAGCCCCAGTGGCTGAAGATCTTGGTGGAAAAATCAGCTTGAAAACTCCCCTCATCCAAATTCACTTAGTTTAGGAATTTTGAAGTCATCTTTTGGTACAAATATTTAAATTTGAAATTACTACTCATTAACATTCCTCTACTACTGAGTACCTAAGAATCTGGACATATCAGATAAAAATAACTTTCCTTTGAGTATTTTCCTGAATTGAGAGTGTTTTAGCTGAGAGCCCAGTCTCTCCCACTGCCAGCAAGGCGATTATTTGTATATTATTATTAAGAATTGTTTAGTAAGTTCTGCATTGCCCAAATGAACAAAGTCAGTGAACATTTCTCTATCTTCCTTTCCTCTATCTTTCCCTAAGTCTGGTTCAGTTTCTAACGTTCTAAACTGTAAGTAATTTTGATGATGATTATAAAACTTTTGTGATTGGCTTAAGAGCAGTCATATATAATTCTGACATCAGACTGTACTTGTACTTCCGAAACTCACAGTTCAGGGCTGGTGAGGTAGCTCAACTGGCCTGGGTTCCATCTCCAG